ACCATGACAACCGCAGTGGTGGGGGAAATTGATTAGATACTCTGCACTGTGCTTGGGGTGTGGAAGCAGTATGGTTGTGCACTGTATAGGGGGAGGGGATGCTTATAGGGTGTATGGCTTGTAAAGATGGATTATGGTTATGGTTTTTGTGTCTGTGTGTGTTTCTGTGTGTGTGTGTGTGTGTTGGAGCGAGTAGGGAGACAGGGTGGGGGTAGAGGGTGCCCTCAAATCACATTGCACCAGATGGAAGGTTTGAATCCACATATCTTGTCAAAAGAAGCATAAAGCAGTGTAACAGTGTTTTTTATTTTTTGATTGGAGGTCATGTGACTTTGATGCCTCTGTTTGTGTTCCACACTTGACCCCTGACTTGTAATCTGTGAATGACTGTTAGTAAAATAGCATGTGATTGATCCTGTTGTCTTAGTTGTACCCACTCTGAAGCACAAGCATTAAAAGCAGTTAACCTGCTTTTCAGTCACCCTAAATTCCACTGTCACTGTTCCTCCGTCTCTCTCCTCCTTCATTCCAGTCTCCCAGTCTCCCCACTGTCTGATTTACATCCTCCCAGCTGTGAAAACAGGCGCGATAACTCTTGGCAAAGGAGAATGCGGCGAGAGGGTGAAAGAGAGCTGGAGAAAGAGAGTAGAGAGGGGGCTTTTCAGATGAAGAGAAAAAGGGTTTGCTGTGTAGAAAGGGAGCTTTGTGTTCCTCCACATTGCTGCAGCTCTGTCTCTCTGATTTAGTTGAGCCAGCAGCCAGCGCATTACTGTGTCTCTTTAAATCAGGGTAGTGTTAGCCTTAGTAACGCTCAGGCTCCACTGCTCCAATGCTCCTGCCCAGTGGCTGCCTCCTCTTCTTTCAGCCAAAGACAACTGGACTCCCTGTTAACTCTGCCAGATGGGCCCAGGTCTGTCGGAGGCACCTGGGAGCTGCTCGTCCTCCATGATCATAGATTTTTTACAATTTTTTTAAAGCAAGTTTTTGCTTGTCCTATTCAAGGGTCTAAAGTTGTATGCTGAACAGATTGTGAAGCCCCTTGAGGCAAATTAGTGTGTTTTTTTTTCTGGGCTGTAACAAAAAAAAAAGCCTTCACTTGACTATTGATACTTTTTTTGTGTGTGACAATAAGGGGTTCTTTTTGGACCTGAGTGGACCGACAAAAAAGGGCTCCATCCCTTTCTCTAACTGTTAATTCTCTCACTGTTAATTTTGTAATTTTTAACATCCGTCTTCTTCACGCTGCACTGCTTGAGAAGAAATCACATTAACCTTATGTAACCAATGAAACTTTCAAATATAATCTCCAGAAAGTGTGTCATCTGGATTTAGGTCCTGCTTAAATTGGTTGCAAATATAGTGGGTACGGAAAGTATTCAGACCCCCTTAAATTTTTCACTCTTTGTTATATTGCAGCCATATGCTAAAATCATTTAAGTTCATTTTTTTCCTCATTAATGTACACACAGCACCCCATATTGACAGAAAAACACAGAATTTGACATTTTTGCAGATTTATTAAAAAAGAAAAACTGAAATATCACATGGTCATAAGTATTCAGACCCTTTGCTGTGACACTCATATATTTAACTTAGGCTCTGTCCATTTCATCTGATCATCCCTGAGATGGTTCTACACCTTCATTTGAGTCCAGCTGTGTTTGATTATACTGATT